GGGATTTTTTAAAGCCGCCTAATCAAACTCTTTTGGAAAAATCAATATTTCACGATAATATCTTGTCAGAATACATGTATCGAGAACAACACGTGTGTTTACGATGTTTGAGAATACTAAGTTGTCATATGCTTGAAGTTAAGCTCTTTTAGTCTAATCGTACAAGTTGAAGGCCACTTCACACGTTTTTTATTTGTTTGTTTTTGTGTGTGGAAATTCACGCTTAATAAATTTAAGCACCACAATCGCCCTGTAGCATGCATTCGAATTTCGTGTAACACGTGTAAAGAAACTTTGTACTTTGCACACATTGTATGCGACCCACATCGAACTCGCGGCAGTGCATTGTCGTACATGAATTTCGTAACTTGCAATGATCATGTTAAAGAGAACACCAGTGGTTACTTTCAATAGTTCTTGAAAACACTTTTCCTCACCTCGTAACGATAGAAATTGTCAATTTAAAACTACCTTGCTGCTTATCAGAATGCCTTTTGACACCGTTTTAGAAAGGAAACGATTTTTGTCATTGCTTATGAATATTAATTTATGCAAATAAAACGTGATATGATGTGAAACCTGAAATCAAAGTACCTGTAAAATGCCCACCTACAAATTTATGCAGATGGTTTATCTCGCCCTGAAATGGACATTTGTAAAAAAATTAAATAATAATAATATTTGAAAAAAAAAGAATCAGAGTTGTAGCCACGCCCATTGTTGCTGCAGTCGACTGATTGGAGATGCTGAATTGGTCGGGTTACGGACATCGAGCTACCAAAACATCGATTTTTTGTTTTGCTTAACAACCAAATTTAGTAACTCAAATGTTAATTAACAGTTAACCGAATTTCAAGTTACGATACACGTAAAACGTTAACAAAAAAAATGTTTGGTTAACAGTTAATTAAAGTTTGAGTTACTAAATGTGTACGTTCAACGAAAACAAAAATGTATGTTGCCCGCAGCAAGTTACAATTTGGGCGTGGTTTCTAAGATATGGGCATGGTGATTATTGTAACTCGATGCTCGTAACTCGGTGTCCGTAACCTGAACAATTCAGCATCTCCTTCAATTGACTGATTCTGGCTTTCCGACTTCTCCCGAAGTGAAGCTGCACCGTCAAACGTCAGAATAAAACTCGTCGGACTTAATGGATTCTCGTTGTGAAATTATTGATGGCAGACAGCAACTTTGAAATTCATTTTTTTATTAAAATATTTATTTTGTGCTATAAAAACTATGATGCTAATCAAATACCAATAAGTGATTTTAGACATCGGGGTAGCAAGCGTTTCACAGACAAGGTCTCATGCCACTAATCAATCAACGACCGTTGCAAGAACCAATGAATTTTTTTTAATATTTTTTTTTTCAGGTTTGAGGGCGTGTATCACCTGGGTAAAAGTATAGTCTGGTTCCCTGCCCAAGTTTTCACCGCTGAGGGCTCAAAGAAAAACAAGGTCAGGTACGGGCCGACATCTTGGTCAGATTTCTGGCCAAAATGGATGACAGACACATGATGGTCACATGGTTACTTCGCAACAAACAAAATGGCTGCCTCCACTGTGACATGTACGCCGGTCAAGATAAGTAATTCATCTCAAGCGTGTTTTGTTTGTAGTACAGTGGGGACACGAACAAAAAAATCCACGAAGGTACCGGGAAACATAACTTGAAGTTGTTGTTG